TCCAGGTGAGCTGGCTGCCGTGGCTGCGCTGTAGAAGGAGCCCCTCACCCTGCCTGGCGGTACCAGTGACCGCATCCTAGGGAGAACCCTGGATGGCTCTGCCTCTGTGGGTCATGCTGTCACCGATTTTGATTTGAGGACGAAGGTCATGTGTGTCCACAGGAGTTTTGCACAGGCATTGGCAGGACTGCATGAGACTGTCCCCATGTGTACATCATGTCTGTTGGGGAGAAAAGAACCACGGACGTGATTTCTTCTTTTTTCTAAAATTAACTTATTTTTAATTGACAATAATAGTATATTTCCTTTGTATTTAAAGCTTTTTTTTTTTTTTTTTTTTTTATGTCAGAAGGTGTGTGTATGCCCACAAGAGAGAGGGAACAAGAGAGAAGGGTCCCCACCAGGCCTGGCCTGAGCATCACCTTGCTCCGGTCTCCAGGAGCTTGCTGGGGCCCGGGCCTGTGCACCTGTGTCTAGCAGATTTTTCATGCCGAGGCAGGGACTTGAACCCTGCTTGGCCACGTGGGACCTGGCTTCCTTCCTCCACACTGCACTGCTGTGTTCCAGGCCCGCCCCCAGGTTTTAGGCCGACCACGTGGGGTGTGCCGTCGTGAGCGGTGCGCTGTACGAGTCGGCCCTGCTGTCTCACACTGGTGCTGACGGCGTTTTGTGGTGAGGACACGTCAAAGCTGTTCTCGTAGCAATTTTTGAGGATGTGATACAGTCCCATCAATTGCAGTCACTGTTCTGTGGCGGAGGCCTCTTCAACTGTCAGCTGAAATTCTGCCTCCTCTGAGCGCGTCTCCACTTCCACCTACCTGGCTGCTGCCTTTCCGTACCCTCCTGGCGTGCGGTTTGTTTGGATGAAGGAAATCTGGTTCCTTGACTTTCGCAGTAAGCTGATATCTTACAGCTGCCATTAGGGCTGACCCCATAGCAAGCAGTTACGCCTGGCACACAGGGAGCCGGACCCCGCATGGCCGCTGGCAGCCGGAGACCTGGCCCTGGCGGTTTGGAGAGCACACTGGGGCATGTGCCTGCATGCTCAAGGCCCTGGTGGGATGGGGTTGGAGCAGAGGGATCGTGTCCACGAAGGACAGTTATCTCAGTCGCTCAATTTACCAGTAATTTAAAAAAATTACCTAATGCTGAGAAACCAGCCTTTTTTCAGAAGTCTGCAAGACACCGGGGCAGAGTGCAGCTCCGAGGGCTCCCACGGGCTGCCCTGTGCCTGGGGCTGGGACTTGGGCTCTGCAGTCGGTCTCCAGGTACGCCGGCGGCTTCCGTGCTCGGCCAGGTCTGCGCACGTCGGCGGCCTCTGTGCCCGGCCAGGTCTGTGTACCCCGGCGGCCTCTGTGCCCGGCCAGGTCTGTGGACCCCGGCGGCCTCCTTGCTGTGCCCGGCCAGGTCTGTGCACGCCGGCGGCCTCTGTGCCCGGCCAGGTCTGTGCACCCCGATGGCACACTTACTCTCCAGAAGTCGGAGGTGAGGACGAGTTCAGTGACTGACCAAGATCCATTACAGGTCTCCTTTTGCCCCGCTGCTGTTTCTGTTCTGTGGGCATTTTCAGGAAGGTCCTGTTTCTTTTTAGTTTAGGACCCACCCTTCCCCATCCCCGCAGCCGGGAGCATTTATTACAGAGTGTTCCCGATGGATTTACTTAACACTTAAAAGTAAGGATGAGAATCACAGCGTGACTCCTGCAGCACCAGGCTGGGGCTGGGACCTGCCCGAGGCTGTGTGCAGTGGGCGGCTCAGGCTCCTGCAGCCCTCTGTCTGCATGGCTCTGCCAGGCAGCAGCTGGTGGGCTTGGCCAGGCAGCTCCAAAGCCACGCTCTCCCATGAAACTCATTGTCTTCTCAAGATGCCGTGGCTTGGGGACCAGCAGTTAGCGTAATGGCTATGTCGTTGGACTCTCATGTAGTTGACCATGGTTCGAGTCCCAGACCCGGCGGCTTAAACTCAGGTCGGGCGTGTGTGCATGCGTGCCCAAGATCCCGAGAGGAGAATGGAGGAGAAGGGATTGCGGCGTGGCCATCCCCCCTGGGGGGTGATTTCTCGCTTTCTCTCTCTCTGTCTCTCTCTGTCTGGCGAGCGCACGCGCCCTATAGCAAAAACCTCTCCAAAAAAAAAAAAAAAAAGATGCGCAGGGTGCCAAGTGTGTGGGGTTCCTTCTCTGTCCTCCGTGTCGTCAGTAACGGGGCTGGAGCTCCATGGATGCCAGACGGTGACCTGGGCACCCCAGGCCTGTCAGTGCCTGGTAGCGAGGCCCTCTGTGGACGCTGGACTGGGCCCTGGCCCTGGGCCCTCTGCAGACACTACTTGGCTTAGGCGACTTCACCCTCTGGCGTGAGGTTTGCCATCGGTACGAGGCCCCCTCCGAGCTCTAGGAGGGTCACTGGACTTGCTGGGTGGTGCTGGGAGCGGCTTCGGAGTGTCAGGCCTAAGCTCCTGTGTTTGTTTCCTGTCGATGCTCTCAGGATGACCGCTGCAAGACTCCTTTGTTCATCCTCATGTCCTTCATGCCGGCATCTGCGGTCCCCCTCTTCAGGTATTTGTCTGCTGCCCCTCGTTATGATGGCCACAGGAGCCCTCACCCTGTTGTGCCGAGTGGGTGGTGTCCACCCAGCAGTCCAGGGTATTCTCTGGCCACTCACAGCTGCCGCCTGCCCTCCCCTGTCTGCGGCAGGGAATTCAGTGCGACCCTTGGGCCCTGCAGGTGCCGAGTGGTGCAGTGGGGGCTGGTCTAGGCACTGGTGAGACGCAGGGAAGAGCCGAGCTTGGCCGGGCACCTGAGGCCAGTGGGAAGCTGAGGCTGGGACTACGGTGTGGCCGAAACCCATCTGTACCTATCAGAAAACGTGTGTTTCAGTGCCAGTTAAAAATCATTCCCCGAAGTCAGGAATTGCTCTAGGATCTGAGATGGCACAGCAAAAGCAGGAGGCAGGGACGGTGCGGCCGGGGTGTCCTCAGTTGCTGCCCTTCCCGGGCAGGGTGTGAGCCAGCCCGAGCCCTCGAGGCACGTCTGTGATAGCAGTGGCCGGCGCACCCTCGGGCTCTGCCTGCTGATGGTGCCTCGCCTTTGGGCAGGTGGGCGTTGCAACCCGTCAGCTCCGGGCAGGTGGGCGTTGCAACCCGTCAGCTCTGGCTTACGCACCCGACTCTTCCAGCTGCAGCGTCGTCTCCACACTGAGGGGCCAGGATGAGAGTGCCACTGACAAGGCCTACGGCACCCTGCTGGACTGCCTGTGCTCCTGGGGCCACGTCGGGCACGTCCTGGAGCTCGTGGACAGCTGGCTGCCACAGAAGCAGCCCCAGACCCAGGTACTGCGCCCATGCCTGTCCGAGTGCGCTGTGGGTGGTGGGCCTGCGGCCGTGGGGCGTGGCTTTACTCATCGGCCTGTCGTCCTTGCAGAGTCGCTCGGCATCGAAGCGTAAGGCGCAGGTCCGTGCTGTGCGCCCCAGCAAGCCTGGCTTAGCGCTGGCATACATCGAGTACCTGCTGACTCACACGGGCAACCGCCAGCGCCTGCTCTCGGCCCCCCGCAAGAAGCTTCACCGTCTTTTGAAAGCACTTGAGGTGTCCAAGGTAACCGAGGGCCTGAGGGGGCGTGGAGGCACGGTGTGGACGCCACTCATGCTCCTGTTTGTGCTCCTGAGGTTTCCGCAAAGGCGCGGACAATCGCGTTGTGCCCGCTTGTTTGTAGACAAGGATGCAGAGGGCGGGGGCAACACTCAGGGCAGACTCCCAGTTCCCGGGCCCTAGGCTGGCTTCCTGGGAGCAGCGTGGAAAGCAAGGGTGTGTGCAGTCCAGGTGGAGGGGCGGGGCGAGCTGTGCTCTTTGGATCTCCACCTCCAGTGTGGGAGCTCGCTCCTGTGGAGGCACCTGCTCTCAGCTGCCGGCGTGTCTTCCCCTCCTGGGCCAGCTCCAAACTCACTCCATGCGAGGGAGAGCTTTAGCTCAGTAGGGCCAGGCTCAGGCGGGCTCAGGTGAGGGACAGGGGGCTCAGGTGAGGGACAGGGGCTCAGGTGAGGGACGGGGGGCTCAGGTGAGGGACGGGCTCAGGGGAGGGACAGGGGCTCAGGGGAGACACAGGTGGGCTCAGGTGAGGGATGGAGGGGCTCAGGGGAGGACAGGCAGTCTCAGGCTGTGGAGGGGTGGGCCTCGTGCTGGCCGGGCTGGATGGCAGCAGTCTGCTTGCCCGTGCTGTCTGGAGCCCGTTGCTTGTGGAGGTGTGGAGTCGAGGTGGCGTCTTCACGGTGGCTGGCACAGCAACACTTCCCCTGTGCTGTGTCCGTCACGCCGTGGCAGCTGAGCAGTCAGTGTGGCCTCTGCTGTTCGCGTTACAGGCAGATCTGGAATCCCTCCTGCAGTCGCCAGCCGGGGCACCTCGTACCTTCGACGAAGCCACCACCCTGCGAGCCTTCAGTCTCTTCTGCCGCCTGAGCGTCCACCTGCAGCGCAAGGTGTGTGGCGTCTCCTGGGCTCGAAGGAGAGGCCTGCAGGCTGGCCGAGCTGCCCGTCACTGGCGTTTCCTCTCTTATCCTCGCACAGTTCTGCTCGGAGGAAAACGTGTGTCTGTCTGATTTGGAGGACACTGGGCTGTGGTTGGAAAGCAGAGTTTTACCTCTGATTCGAGATCAAGAGGAAGAGTACCTGGAGCATCACAGGACCCTTCACCAGCAGATCATCCAGGTGAGAGGTCTTGAGACACAGACACTGGGCCTGCAGCTGACCCAGGGTTAGCTGCTCGCTGCCACGGCCAACCAAGAGTCTGAGTCTGACTGTGGTTTGAGTCCTGGACACAGCAGCTTGAATCTCAGCCAGGCACTGTGTGCCCAAAGTCCCGGGAGAAGGATGGCAGCGTGGCCAGTGCCCCAGGGGATTTCTCACTTTGTTCTCTCTGCCTGTCTCTCTCCAGAGCGTTACACGCCCTATGGCAAAAACCTTAAAAAAAAAAAAAAAAAAAAGAAGCTTTTCTTTTCCAAAGTTTGTTACGTGTTCAAGATTCTGTTTTCTGCTTTAAAGTGTAGACTGGGTGGTACTTTCGCTTGTACGAACTTGGAGGCTTTCACGTGTGTGGAGATGACCTCACAGAGTGTAAACTGTGGTTGCCGTAACCCACACAGCACGTAGCAGCTGTTCGCTGCCTCTCTGCAGTGGCCTCGGGTGTTCCTAGATCTCGTAGGGGAGCAGG